CAGCAGTGGTCCACAAAAAACACCTCGTGAGTGTGTATGGGAGGTGTTGGATTTCAAGCCCATTCTGGGAAAGGCCCATCACTCATACCAAATATTACAGATTTGAACAAATACACACAAAAACATCAAAATTAGCACAGAAACAGTACTATATAACATTTTAGACACATTCTAGACAGTTTATCAGCTAAAAAAAGTTAATTTTGGGGTAAGTTACTCTTTAAGTTTGGCAAATAAAGAATAAGAAAAAGGGATGAAAATAAGGTTAGTGTTTCACTGCTCTTATTTTGTTAAGGGTATCAACCGGATCAGCAACGTCCCCTCTGCGCTGAGATCTCCACATGACACGTCACCTGGAACACGACAGCGTTTACCTGTTGCTGGCTTCTTTACCACACTCCGGGCAAATACTGCCTCACCTCAGACCAGTCAGGGATCGTTTCACTTGGCCCGCTCACTGTTCCTCAGTGAAAAGTGTTGTTTTAGGCAACTTTTGTCTGCTTCGATCTTGGCCAGAAAGATTCAAGCTGATGCATCCGGTTCGTCCTTTCAAAATAAAATTCTCCCTTCGGGAGTTGAAAAACACTTAGACTTGTAGTCTCAGTGTAGGCAGGCGGCGGCTTGCCCCTGCCTCGGCCGTATATTCCCCTATTTGGCTTATGGGCAAAATATACGGGCCGAGCTGGTTCCTCCGAAGACAGCCCAGCCTTTCTTCCCCGTTTGCATCCAGGAAGAAGTGTTCCGTCTCTCAAAGTCGTCCATGTTAGTAACAAAAGCGGACGAATTTGGTTCCGCCCTCAGGCGTTAAGAATGAGTCAGAAAAAGAAGAAATGATAAGACTTGCCAGTGGCGCCAGTCAAGATTGAAATTCTGTGGTTGTTTTAACAGAAATTTGATAACCTCTTCTTTAGCTTTCTTTCTGATAGATTCTAAGAGAAATCACTGTAAAACATTTATGATGATTAATAAACATTTCTGTTTAAACAATCAGTCTGAAACTTTTGTTAGTCCAGATAAATGAAAGATTTTCTCAAGAAAACTCAATATTATATTACTGATGTTTAAATTAAATTATATTGTTTCTTCACTCGAGGTAACCCCTACAATGAAAACAGGAAATAATTTAAATTCAACCAAAACAAAAACATTTACTGTCATTTTAAAACTCAGTTAATCCACTGCATTTACCCACAATACAATATTTATTCAGAGGGATTTCTCATATTTTAAACTATAAAGCATACGTAGCTTTATATTCTATAAAGTACAGCAAGTGCATTCTAATTTTAGGTAATTCATCACAACACATTTTGATTATCTTTAAATAATTCTTAGTTTAAAAAAAAAAACCTGAAAACACTCATCACACACCTGTCCAAATTTTACTTTAAAAAGATGCAGTTAGTTTTCAGTAAAAAAATATAAATTATTTTTAAAATAATATTTTAGTCCACTTATTGATTCTTTGACGTGTGTGATGGACGGATGGACAAAAAGATAGATAGATAGATAGATAGATAGATAGATAGATAGATAGATAGATAGATAGATAGATAGATAGATAGATAGATAGAT